CACTGCACCATGACCTGTTCGTACTTGTCATCAAACAGGCTTATTACAGTTTGTACACATCACTCCTGTTAGTATATGCGGCTCTTATTGTTGTGTCTTGAATGAGATCATGACCATGTAGTTTTTCCATGTCTCTCAATGTTTTCTAGCTAGATTAGATTATGCAAGCCTCCTCAAGGGCATACAGTGTGTCTCATGTGGTTGCCTGAGACAATTTTAAAAGGTGCATTGCTGAATGAATTCAGCTACCAAACAAAATGTTTTTCCACCTTAATACCCGCTGCGAGTATGAACCTTTAATGTTTAATAAACTGTGTTCATTTGGATCGGTATTAAACTTAGTCACGAGCATCATACCAATCACAGAAAGTTGTTTCTTGAGCTATTCTCTATATTACCTTTCTTGCAGCACAATCTTTCAGATTTCCCATAAACTGCAGCCTGTTCTCTCCCCCTCAGGGACATATTGGGGTTCATTGAATGAATCTCAAACATCAGAGCAATCACTGTCTTGGTTGAGTGGCATTTCTCTCTGCACTCTCTGTCTAGCAGCCTTGTTCCGCTTCATTTGAGCCCACATCCGGCCAGAGAATGATCGTGGCAGCCAGAGGAGTCTTCCCAGCCGTTTTGTGGGCGTCTGGACGTCCTGGGCTCCTCTGTATTCATTAGCAGGCTAGTCACAGTGGTGCGATGGAGCGTATCCTCTCAGTGGCTCACAGGGACTGTCAGCAGAGTGACGGAGACAGATCGCAGGTGGAGAAGCGAGGAGACCTGCCATAGATTAACTCGTCTGCCAGCAGGGGGACTCCATGGTACCATTTGTTTTCAGCTCAACAGATAATTTTTCTAATTAACCTTTAAGTGGATTGCTCAGTGTTGTATTCAGCATGAAAAAAGACCGCTGAGTACCTGTCAACTGTTCTTATATTCTTTGGTATTAGGAAAATAAGAAATGCTTTTTCAATTTCTGATGATTTTCCAAGCTGTGTGTCACGACCGATACATGCACACACACACACACACTGATTAGCAAATGTATTACCCAGTGAAAGGTTTATGCCACAGATGCTATAAATTAATATGTGTGCAAGCTCTTTAATCAAAATGATGCTTTTAATAATCAAATCCATACGAAAAAGCAGAAAATCTGTCTATCTATATTGTATTACTGAGGCAGTAGCACTGAATGAAACTGAATACATTATAAACTTTCACACTGAGTCTAGTCACCTATCACATACAATTTTGTAAGACAGCACGCCTGTGATTAGCGGAGAGTTCAGTTCTGTTGTTTTTCTTGCCTGTGGAGAAAGGGCGGGTACTGTGTGTGGACTTAAGACATGAAACTATGGAGAGTTAACTACAGTTGAATAATGTATTGTTCCCATTTTGACTATACCACAATGCACTAAAATCTGTGTACTCTTCCCAAAGAAATCTTGAGAAAAAAAGGGGATTGTGTTGTCGTACTTTTGACAAGTACAATTTGCTTTCTGCACTTTGTCTGCAACTGGAAGAGAAAACAGATTCCATTCTTATGCCCATCAGTATCAGAGTATCAATATTCTTCATGTATGTAGTTTAGTTTGTTCAGTACTTTTGTGGCCAAAAGTAGAAGGTCACAATGTCAAAATGTATATATATCACATATATTTCACCTCTGTAATATTCTGGATATTTATAACTGAGCTATTTGTTTATGTAAGAGCAATTTCTTATAGACTTCTTATTTTGCAAACTGTTTGTAATATATTGTATTATTTAATTTAGTTCAGTTTGTTACTGTTATTGTCTCGGAACAACTGTAACCACATAATTTCCTGACGGATTAATAAAGTATTCTGATTCCTTTGTGTCAAGCATTCAAACTTGTGACACAGGTACATATTAGGCCTTTGAAGGTTATCTAATTTGACATATCATGATGTTACGATGCTGCCTAGCAACAAGCGAGCATTGCGCTAGAGTGACCCTCTTTAAGCATTTATCCCCTCACTGTAACATCTAGTTACGGTAACATTCACAAAATTTTACTCAGACATTATACACTCCCTGGTTGCCTGGCAACCACCTAGCAATGGGCTAAAATGACCTGTCATTTGAAAAAAAAAATCCTGTCATTTTAATTTCAAGGCAGATTTGTAGCCACAAAGCTGAATTATACATTATAGGTTCACCCTGTTGCCTAGCGACAGCTTAACAATGGGCTAAATTGACCCATTTTTTATTTTTATTTTTTGCATTTGTGTACCTATAACATCATAGAAAAGCACTGCATCATTTTAATTACATGATCAACGGCAACTGTATTGGTTTACTTAAATATCCAACTATTGGTTTACAGGTGTAAGGCTAATGTTCATATCATCCACAGACTGATCAGACTAACAAAAGATGGTGTTTATTTTCTGAAATCATCCGAATACAGTGTACCATTAAAGTTTGACTTAACTCTTAGAGTATAACCTGGAAATTCAATTTTAAACTTGAAGTTAACAGTCAAATGTTGTCCCCAGGCCAAGAGATTTCCTCCTTTGCAAATAAATCCAAAATGGGCATCCTAAGATTATTCCCTTCCAGCCTCAAGACACTGTAGCTTCAACCAAAATCCACAACCTGGACCGCCTGAGGTCACAATATTAATAGGTCAAATTCCTATTTCATGTTTATTTCTTCTGTGATATAAAAAAAATTACTTATTTGTGTTGTCGTTTTTTCAATGCTACACTGGCTAATTTTCTTTCCTTTATGCTAACCTAAGATTAAGCTAACAAATAAGCTGGAAACAGTGTTTAAAGATGCCAAAATATCACACGACTGTTATTAGGATTTAAGGTGCTTATCATAATTATAAATGCTTTATAGACTATTCAGACCAATCAAAAACACACCAAAAAAGAAGACATTGTTCATTACTGGACTCTCTTCGCAGCATGCTGTGAAAGTTTAAGTTATCTGTCAGAGTAACACCAAGTGGACTCAGGACATTCAGTGTCAAACTTTATATTAACCATCAAATGTTGCCCCCAGGGCAAGAGACTGCCTCCTCTGCAAATAAATCCAAAATGGCCATCCCAAGAAGATTTCCCCAAGCCTCCAGACGTTCATGCTTTAGATTAAAAAATGTGTAATTCCATAGCCATCTGGCTCGAGAAAGGAATTTAAGAGCTGTGTGGATGCCAGCCCGATGCCACATCTTGGAATGGGCTATTGCTTTCCAAATTGCTCTGGGCTGTGTCCCTTTCCATGTATTTGTGCAATAGCATTAGCTTGTTTTCTGTCTGCCCTCTTTATAAAGTTTAAAAAGTAATCTTTTCTCAGAGCATGGCTGTTTCTGATAAGGAATCTAAACTAGGTCAAGGACTCAGAGTAAAGTCATTGAACAGTAATTAAAGCACCCGCTGATGCTACAGTTCAAAATGTCTCCACCATGAGCTTTGAGATAGAAATCCATTCAAGGATTTGGAAAGCTTTTGTTTCACTCTCCTCATGAGTAAAATTACTTCATTCTTTTTTTTTGTCAGGGAAACTGAGTAATTAAGTGAGCAGAGTTATTATCGAGCCACTGGAGTGAATCGAGAATTCTGCCTGATCACCTACGTAATGTGATGCCCAGTCATTCAAAGGGGTGGCAGTAAGTTGAAAACAATTTGGGGGCTGGCTGATCAGCATATGAGAAATCCATTTTCCAGAAATGTACATTTTACATTGTGACATTGTGAAGGATCATCTTGGTACACAAATACAGTAAGTAGCAGTAAAAAACAGTCCCTTGTGATTTTAATTTCTATATTATCCTTATATCAGACTTCTATTGTTAGTAGGCCTACCATTAAAACATGTGTTGCGCTACCAATAACTTAATGGTATTTTTTATTTACAGTACACTGAGCCAAATACACATGTATGTAAATTTACTGTATCCAAAAATGAAAAAGTAAAAAATTTGCACATACAATGAGCCTCCTTTTTAAAACCAGACTACTGCTAAGAAGTTCTGAAAGTCATGAAAAGAAAAAAAAAAATAAACAGAAATATATGCAGATCTGGAGAACAATACACGAACTAATATTCCCACCAATGGGACCACCACTGCCTTGTGAAATACATAATCCCTTTCTGTAAGAAGATGATATTTGGCAGCCACCTCCATCTACTGTAACATTGTGCCTATGGTCTTTTTGCTTCTTTAGGAGAGCCACTGGCTGAGCATTTGAAGTTTTAATCTGGCGCTCCAGAGACTAAGGTCACCTTTCACTATCCCCCCCCCCCTCTCTCTTTTATTTGCTCTTGCTTAGTTCTGGCAACCCTGCCATTTCACACACTATTAAAAGAAATCTGCTAATGCAAGGAATGAGGTCCTTGGCTTGTGGAATGGAAAATGATGGCATTTCTGAATTCTGTCTCTCTAAAAAAGACCCTGGGCGTCTTGTGCAGGGTTTATGACCCTAAGATTAGTCACTTTTTGGTGCTGGATGTACTGCCTTGGGCTATTTCTGCCAGAAACTGATTTTCATATTGACGTTGAACCCTCTCCAGTCCACATATTGGCTCATGCATCACCTGGACTGTGCAGCTGTCAAGCCTCAGTGATAGCAAGTGAAGCAGACAATTCCTCTGTTAATAAATAAACAAGTGAGGGTGCAAGTACGTATAATATTCCAGGCTCGAGGCATCCAACTACGCACCGCACATTTCATTAACATTAACATTGCATGACGTTCAATTTCAATTTGTCCTGATTTCCTGTTACAAAGCATAATTATGGCATGTTTATATATTACTTGTGTCAAGAATAATAATACCACCACATCTTGAGCCGCCTTCACTTTGTCATTGAGTATTGTAGTCTTCTCTCCTGAGCAAATTTGTTTTTATTGGGCTTTTCCTTTTAAGCAACAGAAATTGGAATGGAAAACCCCCCCCAAAAAAGATACATGCAAATGGATAAAACTTCTTACCAGTCTTTACTTGCACTTATATATCTGTGTGGATATATAGCAACATGGCTAAAAGTAAGACCAGGTTACTAACACTGTATGCGATATACTTTATACTACTGGCCTTTTTACACTTGTCAAGGAAGAGAAAAAAAGAGCAGTTGGGGAATTACATGGAGCACAGCTTTGCATGCATTACACAGAGAAGACTAAGGAGAGATTATCCAGAGCCAGATGTGTCTCTCTCCAAGGAAAAAACACGCAGTCCGCTAAGAAGCAGCAATATCCTGCCGCTAGTAAGCGTCAAACAGCAGGGCGTTGACGGTCGGCTGTCTGGAGCATCGTGCCGGCTGTCTTTGAATTTGCAAGATTTCAGGTTTAGGAAGCAGTCGTCTTTTAATGTTGTCGACACATCCTCCATCATACTTTAGACAAGTGTTTTCCAAGTTGACTGATAGACGGTAATGCAGCATTAACTTCTGTTTGCTCACAGGCAAATGTCATCTGTTTATTTCTGAGAAAGAAAATGTGGGGTTCAAGTTTGTCTATGAGCAGAGCAGCTTTTTCCCAGCAAAAGAGACCGTCATGCAAAGAGACCGGAGCATTGCAACACTGAAACCCTTAAACTAGATCTGTACACACTATATTACTTTGGGTTCCTAAAATTGCCATGCCCACTTCCTCTGGTTTAATTGTAATAAATGTGTTTGATGTCTTCGATGAGCATTTCAGTGTTATGACATTCTGTAGTTCATGAGCTATGACTCCATAGCACAGAAACCAGCATGCTTCTCTAGGTGCAGAATTGTGTTTTATTGAACCAGGGCTTGTCAGCATTTTTGGTGAGCTGGTAAAATATAATTGTGTCATCCTTTATAAAGCAGTGTTGGGTTGACAGCACCCACAGAAGCTTCATTCCTCTGCTTTTTATTGGGGTGTGAAGAAGGGACATTCTCTTGGTGATGAATAACGTCTCTCTCGCATGAAGTCAAGGTAAAACACACTCACAGTGGTGGTGTGCTCCACTGGATGTACATGGATGATTTAAAATGAAATCAATTCAGCTGAAGAATTAGAGCTGGTTGCCGTAATGGTTTTTATCTGACACCCATCAATACCTCTATTGATTTGCAAGTAGGATCGAATCTTGTAAGGACTGAGTGAAAAAAATAAAAAATAGATACAAATTTGGCACAAAAATATCAAAGTACTATTGCAGCAAAAGCACTTAAGTAAAGTGACATCCGTTAATGATTTTCTCTGTTCCCTAATGCTAAGTGTTTGAATGTTTAATATACCAAAGTCAGAAATGTTTCTAAATCTAAATCTCTTCATGTTTTTGTAACAACACTGAACTTGTGCATATATTTTCCAGTTGGTTCTCTGCTTATGTGTAATTCAGAAAAAATCTAATCACATTTTTCTATAGAATTTAATCATTTCCTCTCTTAAAGAAACAAACATCAGATGACAAATATACCCCAGCACACCTGCACTACAATATATCAAAATCAGCGACCATCTTTATTGTGTTCAGGTTCTTACCGGGGCTATAAACACCTGTTTATGGATACAAAGAAACAACAGTTTCACATTTCTTTATAACTGATTTTGTCAGAAACACTATGAGGCCAAATAAGGACCAGAGGATCCTGTTCATAAGTTATTAAGGCAGGGAGGGGTCGCATCAGGGACTCACGCTTTAAATAGAGCTCCAAAGTTTCCAACTTCATTTCCTATGCACAATCAAGCTCAGACCCAAGAGATGGAGGATATTTAAGGTCCGATGAATGGATGTGAGCCAGAAACGGCATTTAATAAAAGCAAAAGACGAGATACAAGTTGATTAATGCAATGAGGAATAATAAAGCCATAGCAGATCTGCGGGGAAATGTAAGGTCTTATTTTCTTTTTCTCTTGACAGGGATTAAGTACAAATATCCCTGCTACTGGTATTAACTTCTGGCAGGATTGCTCTGTTTCATGATCAGTTTTTACTCCAAGTCCTGTATCTCTTCACTAATACAGCTGCAAAAGAGGGAGAGAGAGAAAGACATCATCTTCAGTAATAACAGTAATAAAACATAGCTGATATCATCTATAGGGTTCAAACGATAAGGGTGTTGAAAGGCTTCTGTCGATACACTGAAATCACTGATAGTTAGGATGGCAACATTCAGTATCTTTAATTCGGCATTTTCCAAGCCATGACTCAATGATTTCTCAGTGTTTCCTGCAGATTTCCTTTCTTATCCTTTGCAACAGCATCGCTAAACCTCTAAACATTACTTATTTATTTTCCATTGAATCCCAGACTAATTAAATTCTTGCAGGGTGAACAGCTCTTTCAGGCAGACTGACCCACATCACCAGTGTGGCTATAGAGCCCGGGATATATTAAAGTTAAACATATGAGTGTGCACAATCCATAGTTATAGTATTATGAACATTAAAAGTATGCAAATGTTTTTTTTAATATAAATAAAAAATAGTTCTGCTCTAATCATGTCAGAGAAACCTAATAAAAGCACAGCTTGCATATCAAACAAACCCTATTTGAGCAACAACTTCAAGAGAAAATCTCTTATTCTGCATTAGGTTTCCTTTTTAAAAAAAACTCTTCTTCCACTTCCCACACAATGACAAGCACAGCCCCAAACCCTGAACCTTGTGAGGGGCATTTAGTGGGGGTAAACGTCACAGAGTGTAATTAAAGAGGAGCTTGCCCTCAGGAACTCTCCCAGTTGACAAAGCGAGTAAGTGACAGTGTCTGTTTTTTCTTTTTTCCATCAAACCAGCAAATATTGACTTAAAAGAGCATGGCTTAGAGAAATATCAAGTTGTTTCACAAAATTGTTATCACTGTTTGTCAGACACATATAGAATTCTTCTAAAGTGGCCCGTTTTTCATTTCAACTTTCTTCCTCTCGACACAAGTTAAACGACTGTGCTAGAAAAAAGAAAGTCTAAACTAGTATGATTTATGAAATCATCAAATGTGTGTTATCTGTAATTGATCAAAAATATGAACAGAAGCGGTCAATTAGTGGCGTGTTTGTCCTGCTTTATCTGTCCCACTAATGGCACTTCTGGAATAAATATGGTGCCATATCTTATCTGTGGCAATTCTCCATATTCACACCCACAGGAACGGTCGTGTACATCAGGCTATAAGGCCTTGAATCGCTAGATTAATGAGACAGACAAAGGTAAACTTGATTAGAGTAGAGTCACCCTATTCCACCCTTTCTGATTTGTAGTTAATCGCCTTGGATTGATTTAAGCCTTTGATTCTATAAGATCACTTCTGCGCAGCAGAATTTGCACCGACTTGAAGAGAAGAGAAATTTTTCAGCAGGAATTTCCACCTTGTTTTCTATCGACGGCTAATTGACGTTAGATAAAATTACAAACTAAGAAAAGTCCCGGGAATCATCAATCAAATAGCCATATTCTGCTGTACTCAGACCTATGGAGGACAGCTGCTATATAACAACGGCTGCTAAACAGGACTAATTCTCTAGAATGAAATATGCTGCAGAGGACGGCCATTTACAGGACCGGTATCAGAGCTATATTTCAAGGCCCAGCCGCAGCCTCTGCCCATTAAAGTGTGTGTGATGTATTTTAGGGCCGGTTTATGTCCTGCTCTTTTCTCAAAGAGGGCTACACACTGACATAATGGCTGATAGAAGATGCTTCTGGGCCAGCAGTGGCTCTCCATACAGAGTAAACCAGAGTAGAGGCTATATTATTAAAGAAGATAGACATCTGAAGAGTCAATTTGGCCAAACCGTGTGAATTCAGATTAGAGAAATACCAAAAATGTCATTGCTGCTTTCGTTTTTATTTGCCTTTACAAATAAATGCAAGCACTGGTATCATAAATGTGCATTTAGTGGCTGGGATTAGGTTTATCCCTACCAGCTTTAGTATTCTAGGATACACTAGCATCAGCAAGACTGTTGGAAACCATTTTACAGCAGAATAAAGGTACGCATATGGAAAACAATGCACATTACTTGACCTCCACAGTTGCTATATTTATGGGTTAACACTGCTTCTGTATGTGCACTATCAGCACCTATTACACGTGAAAACAAATGGTGTGAAGTTATGGTCAACAAAATAACAAGGTAATTTCTTTATACGCGTTAGGTGCAGTAGGTGTGACGATGGTATCTCCTAGTGAGCAAAAACAATGCTGTTTTTTAAAATCGTTTTTCTGTTTTACTCTGGTTTAGCTTTTAAATTTTACATGTGATACTTTTTAGCAGTGATATATTAAATTCATTAATTACAGGAGAATTAAAGCAGCTGTGAATGAAGCATATTCTCTGCCTAACAACACGTGCCAAAGACGTTTGCTGAGCCAAGAAAATAATTTTAAAAACAGCCCTACTAGTGGGTACAGCACATAATTTAAGGCATACCAGTAGTCACACTTTGAACACATGGCCTGTTTCCTCATTGCCCCTAAAGATTGAAGACACAACTTAGAAGTTCAGCTCTGATTGCCCGCCAGATGGCCATACCGGAGAGATCACTTTTCTGAGAAAGACTTTCACCTAGAGGCTTCCTCAATCATGTTAAAATTTTACTGCAGCATCTGACATCTGACCAGCGTGCTGCATGGCCAATATGGGAAGAAAGTAGTTATGGAACCCACAGCTTTCTCTGTATCGTCTGCATAGTAAAAAGCCCGTGAGTTTCATAAGCAAATAGAAATCTGCATCACGCACCCTTCAAAGACGTGGCTTGTCATTATGGCATCAGCTAATAAGCAGGTGGCAGGAAGTAAATAAAATCAATATCCAGCTAATAATATGACAATACCCAGCTGTTTGGCACTTCTGAGTATAATCAATCACCTGGACAACAAGGTGATCTATAAAAATTTCATCACATTTATCTAGTGGAGAACTTCTACCCTGATAAGACACCAACTGCCACATGAAGTAAATAGTTCTTGAAGAACATTAGTGGCAAGCAGTGTATTGAGGTTGATTATCTCTGTGACTAATGCTCTGTCACTCTGTGGTATGAGAGGGCCCAGCGAGGACCCCCAGTAATGGAGCCTGAGCAGGTGCTGAAAGCCCATTGACATCAGGGGGGAGTGCACTGACAAGAATTTCTGATGAATTTCAATTACTGATCTATTAAAGCTAATGAGGTAAATGAACAGCCAGAATACATTTGCCAGATAGCTTGAGACAAGACCTCAGCCGTTCCACTGGATTTTGTGCGTATGTGGCCACAGCAGATGGCATAACGCCAGTGTAGAAATGAAATAACTGGGCGAGTGGGGGCTGAAAATGTAACAGTCAAATAACCACTGGTAGCTCGGGAATTAAATGCTTAATATTAAGCACACTGATATGGCTAATAAAAGTTTCCACCGTTTGCTGTCATGGCCTTACTGAATGTAGGGATAGCATGCCACCAAGTGGAGTTAGTGCAACATAGCATAATGCAGGTTCACCTGCATTTTGAGAGTTGCAGCACCATCTGCAGGCTTTATTGTGAACAGCAGTTTATTTAAATAAATAAAAAAAAAAAAGATACCCTCTTTGAACTCATGTTTGAACTAGCTAATCATGTGACACCTCATGGATATCAGATTGTGCACAATGATAAATATTGATCAGCTAATCACATCCTTAATCAGAGTTCAGCAAAGACCTGCCAGCTCAGCATAACTCAATATGTATGATCTATCAGTGATAATTAATGTTATAAAATAAATATTCTTTTTTTGTATTTAGTATCTTTTGGAATGTTTTTTTAATCCCATTTGAAAATACACTGTGTCAACTAAGACTATACCAAAAGTTGTCTTCATTTTGCTAATAAATAAAGTGCTTTGTTATTTTTTTATACTGTAAGATAAAAATGAAAAAGGTTAAATCTGCTGCAAACCATAATGTCATATTAACACTGATTTAAAAAAAAAAAATTACGGAATAGCTGCCTAATTAGGCTACAGATGCTGCATATGTGAAACAACACTGGCATCCAATGTTTCTTTAGGTTTAAGATTCAACTGAGAACAAAACAACCTTGATGGCTGAAAAAAAAAAATTGTAAATATAGAGCAATAACTGGAAAACTTTGTAAAGCCGGGTGATTATTGTCTGTGGCTCTATCACAAGAGCTGACATTTTCCACACATTAGAGCTGTTCTAACTGTAAAGATATAGATTATAGAGACTTTATCTTAAAAGGTCATACCGATACTAAACTTGCTTACAGATTAGAAAAAGGCCAACGTTTGATCAAAGCGACTTAGTAGCTAAACGTATGTGTCTTCTTGTACAGCCACAACTTTTACTCACTGGAGATAAACTGAACTATATTGATTTTATTCATTCTTTCTGACAAACTTACAGAATAAAGATCCAGCGGAATAGATGGACACTTCTCCACAGCATATATTTAAGCATGAACAAGAATGCAGCTCAGATCGCTGTTGAACAACACTTTGCCATCCTTCTCTGCGCTGCACTTTCTCCTTAGAAGATCTAACATGCCCGCTCTGATCTCTGGGGTGAAGGACTCGTGGAATTTGTCGCTTCCTGTCATGAAACTCAGCAGGCGTTCTCCATGGCAGCTGCCTGGATTGAAGCACTCGGTAATGTCGAAGGCGTTGGGAGCTGAATGCTCATCGTATTTCAGACCCAGGCTCTTCAGACAGGCAATGACCTCTGCTGATGAACGGTACTCTTTAATGACACCTACACACAGCTCCTTGCTGTAAGTCTTCCACAAGGTGTCCCATCCACTGTTGGCTGGATAGTGTGATATTGAAAATCACATACATTTCTGTATAAAAAAATACTTCAAACAAAAGTAGTCAAGAGGATTTACTCAAAATATAAAAGTAAAAAGTAGCTCCTTGAAGGCCAGCTATGTACAAAGCTAACAGAACTTCATTATAAATATAATAACTCAATATTATTAATGGAATATAAACTTTGATTCAACTTAAATTTAAACCTAAAGTAGCTGTTTTTAAGTTTCCCCTTCAAATGCATTAAATACAAAACAAACATGCTCAAATATAGATTTTATATACAAAATATAACCCCAAGAGGGCACCATTCTTCCAGCGCAAAGAGAAAAATATGTTTTATGCTCCTGGTAAAAACAGGAGCATAAAACAAATATGTTCTCAAAAATTTATAGTATACTTTCTTTACATTCACACAATCTGAATTTGACACCTTTAAACTGTTATACTGCGGACTAATTAATTAAGGATAATTAAAATCAAGTTCGGCTTACCTGCTTCGACGATGATCATAAGTCTGCCGTTAGCTTTTAGAAGGCTGTGGTAAAAGCTGATAGTTTCACAAAGGTTTTCCACATAATAGATCATCTGTATGGGGGAACATTATGGGGAGAACTTTCTAAAGCTTGAATGAATTAAGTGTTATCATTTACAATAAATCTGCCAGGACATTTCGTCAGAGGTTGCTTGACAATTTATCACACTAATTACACATTTATCTGTCAGAATACACTCTACTCCCACTGCGGTCCCCACTGAATTCAAGCAGCAGTGCAGGATTTAGTGAGGACCCAAATATATCTCATTGTTAACAGAGTCAGACAAGGATATTACACTTTACAATACTTATACTTTATAGTTTGCAGTAGATTTTAGCTCACCACAATCCCACCTTAGGCGAGAAGACAAGACACCATAGAGTGACAAAGCAAATTCTAGAATTCAGCAATGTGCTCCCGCTATTCTTTTGCCATGAATCTGTAGAAGGAAAACTCCTAATACCTGAATCATGTGTATGAAATCAAATTTCTTCATCTCGCCCTTCGTTTTCACTTGCTTTACATAGTCCTCGCTGCTCATGATGTTCCAGCCAAATGGGATCTTCTGAAGACTGGCAGTCTTTGCTACCAAAGCTTTAAGATGAACAAAACCAAATAGCCATCAATAACATTGAGATCTATGCTTATGTATATGCGATACATCAAAACACTGATTACACTGAGATAAAACGCTGGCAGACATCATTTAAGAGAATGAACTACTTTAAGAACATATAAAGAAAAGTAAAAATAAATATTGGGAGATGCGATTGTAGTCTTTTTCGTTGGTGTACCTGAGAAGACCACAAAACAAAGAACCAAAAAACATCTGATGCATTCACATGAAAGTAACATCAGCAGACGTATCAGTAGTTTGGGGTTTGTTCCTATGCATAACAACAGACAATACAAGTGAAACAAATGATTTCAGATGACGATGTATGCACGTTTTACACAATTTTCAGGTACTGCAACACAAATGAGTGCATGATGAATTTTAACAACACACAAAGTAACTACTTCTTTTGGCATTTTGAGAAAGCTCTAAATGTCAGCTGATAATGTTAGTACGTTCACTACTGGCACTAATACATCGGCTTTTCAGAAAGGTAAAGAAGAGCCTGAAGAGGAAACCCATCTGAAAATAGAGTAAAAATATTTCAACATGTGGTGTGAATGTGAATGGTTAATACCTTTGAAGTTGTCTGAGAGTTCAGAGCTGCCCTCCACAATGTCAGCAGTAATAGGAACAGCAGGGAATACAGACTGCAGCAGTGTGAGGATCTGAGCATCCACCTCACCTGGGGAAAAAAAAAAAAATCAGGAAGTAAGAAGATTTTGAACACCTGTGGCTCCACATAACGCTTTAAAATGAAAATGCTCCAAAACATATAGTATAGAACACTTTAAAAAAAAACCTGAAATTTATTTAGAAAAGTCAAAAATATATATAACGCAGATGTGTGTAATACTTCTTATCATTCTGATTAACAGAATCATTAACAGTTTGTTGTTTGATGTCATTGTGCAATAACCGCAGTGATCTATGACCTATATTGATCATATGTGGAGCCAAGTGCAATCTGCAATAGCTTTGACAGTGACTTTAATGTATTAATGCCCCCACAGACACTGTTATTATGAATTCTCTTTGTTGCATGCCTTTGAAGGGCATGGTAATCAGTTTAATTGGAGCTTTTTAACAGCGATTCTCAAACTTTTTCTGGCATGCCCCACTTCAGAAACCAAAAAAAAGTATCCAGGATTACATTTTAGTGAAATAAAGGCCAGCATGACAACATCAGAAAACTCTTTTCTTCAAAAAACCCTGTTCGTTCAGCTGCTCCACTTTAATCTGTGGGGACTGCCACAGAGAACCACTGGTTTAAAACAAGTAAATATGTGATGGTCTTGAGTCTTTGACCCGTTTTTGAGTTTGTTATTTTGTTTTTGCAGAATATTAAGATGCTGATATTCTGTTTAGAGTGCCTCTGAGTTTTGTTAAGTTCTAGTTCCTAGCCCTTGTTTAATCATTTAGATCCCTCTCATGTCCAGTCTCTCGGTCTTGCTTCTGTGTCTTCTCCAACATCTCCTGTGTAAGTTATTTGTGCCTCCTTGTGTAGTCCATCATGTCTGGTTATGCATGTTAAGTTCTCTCGCTCCCCCTGTTGCCTGCGTTTAGTCAGTCTGTGTCTCAGTGTGGGTTTCTCATAATTCCTTTGTTAGCCTCCTGTGCTGTGTGCGTTATGTTCAGTTTTGCTTCCTTGTCTCATTAGTTAGATTACTTTCAGCTGTGTTCCCACCTGTGTTCTGTGCCCTCATTTCCCCTTGTGTGCATTTATGTCTGCATCTCCCTCATACTCTGGCTGTTTGTTAGTTTCCTAGTTTTCCCCAGTTTGGTTTCATGTCCTCTGTATTTCTAGTAATAAAGCTTAAAGAGTTTTGAGTTCAGTCCTGTTTGTGAGCCTGCATTTTGGGCAGTGTTCCTGCCCACTTCACACTGCCACATGACAAAATAAGCCAGAACTACCACAGCACACATATACAATGGTCAGTAATGCTACTACAATTAATATTACACTTATTGTTATATTTGATCACATACCTCCACCACTTCCAACACCAAGAACGCTCAGGCTGCTTTTACCCTCTCCAATCCTGCATCAAAAATAAGAACGTTAATAAACCGTTAAAGAAAGTGTACAGTATGTGTGTCACAAGATGTATGCTGGAAAATTACGGTCTTACAAAATTGCACTATGGAGCCTCTGTGTTATAGCTGTCTAATTTATTATGGCTGGTGCTAGACTGGATCATTGAGTAGATGGGTTGGCAGTTCAGTGGGTCGTACACGGCTCAGCTGCTTGCTTAATTTTTAAAACAGCTTCACTCCTGAATGGTGGTCTAAAAAGAGCATCTAAGAAGTGACTGTTTGAAAGCATGGATGTTTTCTTTTGTGAAAAAACTAATTACAGAGCTCAAAGCAAGAGCATTATGACAGCTGCTTTTCAAAACGATCAGCCCAAACCTCTAAACGATCACAAAATCTAAAAGGAAAATATGAAAATGTAAAAGCTGAAAGCCATACATCTTTTGTTATTAAGCATTTCACCTCTACTTACAATATGGAATTTAATCTATTGCAAACTATCAGACTACAGAATATCTCAAAGCATTTTTCATTTAATAAATAAGTTGGTGAGGTACATTTAGTTAAGTAAACAGTAGATGTTTGTGCTATCAAGTGAATAAAGACAAGTGTAAAGGATAAACTGCAAGTGTACTGTTGAATTCTTTCAGGGGGTTTATTAAAAAATGACCAGTCTTGCTGAGCACAAGTTAACATTATTTCAATAGACAAATTGTGGATATTCAGGAGATCATGGTGAAAAGAAACTTTTTATAAGAGGGCTGTGCGGCAGTGACAGAGACAAGAAACCCTTCTTCTAGTCTTCCCGTCTGTTTTAAATAGCTGTGTGACAAATACGGATAAAAATGTAATAACCAATCACAGCATAGCATCATCCATCAGGCTGATCCAATTTAGCACCAAATGGGTTGTTTTGACATAGTAGGGACAATCTGAAAGAAATTGAGTTTTTGAATGAAAATTCAGATTGTGTGCGTGCACTGCAGCTTGCATGAAATTGTAGGCAATTTCTTCTGCCTTTAAAAAGACATTTTGAAGTTATCTGCACAGACCCTGGTGGGCTAAATTACCCCATTCCCTAAAACAGCACGTAACATAAGGAAGGCAACAATTTAAGCCTGGCTAACTAAATGGATAAATGCTCAAACGACTTTCCATAAACTAGCAGAGACCATACTGTGGTGGAACTTCAGGCGGTATAAAGCATCTACTGTTGACAAGTGGAGGACACAGATGCAACTTACGTCAAAGTTTTCATATTCCAACCCTTGAGTACAGTCATTACTGTAGTGCTGCATGAGCAGTCTGTCCCCTACTCTTAGCTTGGAATATGGGTTATTACTTCAAGCATTTCATTTCCTGCTGTACCTTTTAAATTCTCTTGCTAGGAGATTGTTAACACACTGCACAATGGCCTTGTGCTCTCCTGAGTGTTCCAGATAGAACTGGAAAATGTGGACATTGTCACCCTCATAACAAGTGTGCTGTGCTTCTGCAGCCATGACTGATTCCTGCAATGCACAGAAATCAAAAACAACAACATAATCAAGTTTCTCACCACACTTTAATTATATAGTTACATCATAAGAATAAAAAAAATACCTTAAATAGCTGTAGCCTCTGTGGAAATCGAGTTCTTCCCCTTCTTTTGAGTTGCACACTTTACATTCCCTCCCACAAAGTGGACTGGCTTCAAAGTAGTCTCTCTAAAGCACAAATAGTGGGCGTCCTGAACTGTTGGACTGGTTGTGGCGAATGAGAGCAGAGACCCAACTGCTCTCCCCCTTCTTTTAAGTTGTGGTGTTTCTCTTCTCTTCCACAAATGGGCTGGGCTTCAACATTTTCTCTGTAGAACAGAAATAGTGGGCTTTCCTCAACCTGTTCAATTGGCCTCACCTGCCCTTAACACTAACCAAACATATGCAAAGCATGCACCGCTTTAGATGGTCTAAGATTCTGGTCCTAGATTTAGAACTGAAGAAGCTTCTTGAATGAGGGTTGCAGCATCTTGAAGCAACTTAAAGAAGTCCAGATGCTTTTCTTTCTAAGCTCTTTAGACTACGATGACCTGGATGACTGAGAACCTTCACAGACACTGCTTTAGATGATTTCATACATTACATGTCATGGTTACATGGTTGTGTTTGCAGATCAGTAAGTAAAGTTGTCCTCAAGATGGTGCCAAAAGTTCAGCTATATCGTAGTGTCTGCAGAACATCTGCTGCCACAGCATACATCATCTTTACCATTTTATAAATATTAACAGCACAAGCTGTTGAGCTGAAAAGACATTCTGGAGCATAAATATATTTAAGCTGCAAAAGGTTGTAACAGTTATTGTAAACAATCCCCAAATCAGTCACAACGCCATGATTACGATGAATCTACTCATCTAGGAAAACAATTTCTTTTTAATGTATAAACCATCTTAATTTCAAAATGCTATTGTGACAGCTTCATCTTAGAATCAGTTGTATAAGTAACTTACTTCAGCTTTATACACGTCCAGTATAAGCAGCGACTTTAATTCATCTACTTCTCACATTAAAATAAATATCATCTTCAAGTTTTTCTGTATAACAAACAGCTTACAACCTTTCAGCTTATCTAAAATAGATCAGCCTTTATGGAAAACTGAACTGCTTAATGTTCTGTTTACTTTTAGATTTTGATTAATACATGTTCCAATGAAAACAACATAATGGGGTTGGCAGTGGAGCACCGAAGCCTGCCAAATACAGCTCATTAAAAATGATACGACGGTGAAATCTAAAGCTAATGTCCGAAGCAGTTTACGACTTATTTGTGAGACTCATAACAAACAGTAGTTATAACCAATTCACTTATATGCAAGCATAACCTTTGATTTTACAGAACTGTTAAGAAATGCTCTAACAACAGCAGTCTATGGAGTCATTATTTTATTAGTAAGTAGACAAAATATATAAATGGAAGCAGGTGTGTAGATATCCTCTACCCAGCTTATTATATACATCAAGTGCAAAATAAATCAAACAATGTGATCCACCTACATTTACTATACTGACAGTACATGTTTAGGAGAGCTGGTCTAGTGCTATTGCTTCAAGGTTGTTGTTGAAGATAACTTTACCGTTGGACTCTACACTACAGTCTGGGTGCCGAAGCATCTCCAGGACACCAGCTCTGAGCTCAGGTGAAGCTGTGTTACTGAAATCCAGCACCTCAGTGAGAAAATCAAGAAGCAGCTCTCCCTTCTCATCCCCTTCAGTGAAACACTCGGTGATATCCATCTGAGATGGCAGCTCATAGCTCTGGTAACGCACTCCCTTGGAGTCCAGGAAGCTTTTGATGTCTCCAGTGGTCACACACTGACTTATGTCGGGTTGACACAGCTGTGCTCTGTAGGTCCGCCACAGCTTCCCCCAACCACTCTTGCCTGGAACAGATGAAAAAGAGGCTATATTACAACAATGACAATTTGACAAGCAGGTGTTTAGCACGGTCACCATCCTAATTTTTTTCTAGAATTGGCCAGAAACTGAATCATACTTGACTGAATAAGTATAAATGAATAATGACTTGCTGGTGGTACAATGCGGGGAGAATTCATCCTCATATGCATCAGAGCAATTTTTTCACCATGGAGATGCTTACATGGATCACGTTGCTACATTGCAGCTCAGGTATTTAATAAATTCAGAGGAAAGACTCAGAGGGAAGTAGGAAATAAGAAAAAGCTTTAGCTCCTTCAGGATTACACTCAGAGCCTTGTTTATTTTCCCCGTTTAAGGTTTTTGTCTTGAAGTTAAAAGTTGCATTTTTATGCATCTACATATTCACGGATTCACATACCAGGAGCAAAGCAGATGACACGAACCTCAGCATACACTGAAGATGTCGAGGAGATCGGTGTGTGCTAGCAAACTGTCTCTTTTGTTGTCTGCAATATTTATGGACTCATTAGTGCTGACATGGGGAAAAAGGTCAGACTAATATCAAGGCATTTTTTTTTTTTTTTTTTTTAAATGAAGGACTGGCTGTGAAGAATCTCATTTGGGTTGAGACTGGTTTTGGGCAGCATGGCAGCATGAGATGTCTGAGAGCAGGTGTCTTAGTAAATTGAGATTTGGCCACTCTTGGTTTTCGCAGCAATAAATTTGAACATTTTTACTGAATTAAGTGAAAATAAATAAGTTAAAACAGCAGTATAACTGCTGCTCTATATTCTGAAGTTATGTGCGTGTACTATATATATCAACTGAATGCTGGAAAAGGTTTGGTTGTTTCTGTAAGATGCTGTTTTAAACCTTTCATCTCCAAATGTATTGCATGTATAAGCAGTATGTTCGTTAGCTATTTGCACCATAATTAAATCGCCCACATGAGAGAAAGAAAATATCCACTTACCAGACACTAGAATTATGAGAAGCTTCCCATTTTTACCAAGAAGACCCTGGAAGAATCTGACAGTTGCTTCAGGATCCTTCACGTAGTATAGCATCTGTCGATTTCACCACAGATAATGAGCTACTAACTGCATTCACAGAATGCCTAATTATAACGCTGTGCCAGGCAGTTGTTCTAATTGGATTTACTGCTGCCATTTGCCAGAAATGAATGTAACCCAGCTGTGTAAAAAACACAGGGTATGCTCATCGACACCGACCTGTATCATGTGAATGAAGTCCACCTTCTTGGTGGCCTTTTCGGCTTTCCAGTGCTCCTCAAACTCAGAGGCAGTCATCGTGTTCCAGTTGAACTTGATGTAATCTAAATCTGGTTTCTGTGACACTAAAACTGCAGACAGATAATTACTTAGTTATTTATTACAAGTTAACACCGAAATAAAGCTGGCATGAAATTTTACAGCTTAGAGTGGCTGATTTTTTTTCAGGCCACAACGGAGCTGACACTTGTCACAATGATGAGAGCATTTCTGTAATTTGCACACCCCCCCCTCTAAAAACAACGCACTTGTTTTGCATCACACTTCATTAAAAACAATGGAGACCACTTGGCACAACCACACAGAGACCTTTGAGAATGATCACAACGCATTGAAATTAAAATGTTACAGTGTGTTTGAAACTCTTTGCTGTTCGTGCATCCACCACTGACTTCCAGCATGACAGGTATTCAACTTATCGTAAGTTCATGGATTCATTTACATGAGCTAATTGCATCTGCAGTCGTAGGCTGGTAGGTCTTTTGTGGGTGGAATGCTGCTTCTCCAACAGAAAATAGGAGGTTCATTTACTCTATCAATATGTCTCGGAGCAAAGTTTAAATGTCATACATTTTACTTTATTTCTCTATGTCGACATTACAATCCCCTTAGAATGAACCTTTCAATCATTCAAAGAGGTTTTTTTCTTACATATCATATTGCTATTTCTTACACACCCAGTCATCTGAGGGGTAAAGGCCATGAAGTACACCTCCAGGAGAATAGTCCTAATTGTTTCAAAACCAATTACCAATCACACTTTCACCAAATTCATAGTCAATAAGAAAGTCTGGAAATCCTCTGCAAAGCAGATCACGTGGCAAAATTAGACCATCCAGTCTATAAGATGATAAGCTCGCCCATCCCTTCTTGTAGAGGCTTACACTTCATGTTGCATCATTTGTAAAAACGCAGCATGTGTCTGCTATCTTGGGGAAACTTAAACACCTTTTGTTTTCTTTGAACTGCAAATCTAAGGGGACAATTATGATCAGTTCCACAAATAACAAAAGATTTCAACATGCTTTAAAACATTTTTAAACAGCAAAGGTGTCTCTCATTAGATTGTAATTTGAACAATGGAAAGAACCAGCAACAAAAACCAACAATGAGGAACGGGGGAGTCCCTGCTTTATGCATTATTTTTAATCAGATATCGTGTCTATAGGAGTTTTGGGTGAGTAATTGGTTGTAGCTTTAATGTATGCAAGGATCCTGGTCAGACAGCAGCAGACTTGAAACTCGTAACGATTCAGTGTTTTACTCACAGATGCTTTAGTCGGGTCCATTCTTACAGACATTAAGGCTAAACTCTACAACGCCACTGGTGGTTAAATGACTATTTCCTGCTAATATATGAACCGGTGAATTCTTAAGATGCTGTTTTTCACCAATAAAAATATAATAATATCCTGTTTTGCTTGTAAATAAATACTGAACCCCATTTTGGACAGCTGAGAATACAATGATTCATTTTGTGTTGTGTGAGAGAAGTGTGTGCCTGTAAAGACTGTACCTTTGTAGTTATATAGCTGCTGGCGGCTAGGCTCCACCACCTCGTTATCCACCGTCACCCCTGGGTGCTTCTTATGGAGCTCAGAGAGCATCTCTAGGTCAATCTCACCTAAAGGCACAGGCACACTTTTTATTTGGAAGACAAAGTCGCAAACACAAATTTGACCCACTTTCCCACAGTTCCCGAACTGCTAAAAATAATTGAAAATAAAATTTCCACTTTTAGCCAAACAGATCAACATCAGTTGAAATGGTGCAGGAAGCATCTAACAGCATGTTTCAGTTTTGCAGAAAATCATACATTTTCTGTTGCAGTAATTACAGAAGTGAAAAAAAAATGTAATTCAACACCATGAGAGATAGTTATCACAGCGATACCTTTTCAGTATCACGTAACCAGGGATTTGGCTCTAATTCTAACTGAAGGTGACAGGTTGCCATGTACAAAGGAGCTCATGTGGACATGTGTTAAATCTTTTAGATTGAATAATATCTTTCAGGGGAGTTTCCAGTCATTCTAATGTATTTTGCAGCCGAAAAGAGAATCCGTAATGCTCCAATATGATTCTGACATGACAGC